GTACTCGTAAGGCCTGTTCTAAACAATTATACCATGTTGAATTCAATATCTTTGTTAGCAGTAGTTCTTTGAGCATAAAAAAGAGTTGTGATAACGGGACGCTTCTTGACATCTCAGCTTGGCCTCAAGCTAATCGTGCAAGTGAATACAGCACACAAGAAATTAATTCTGGATGGTTTCAGGCTAGAAAGAGACGTTCAACGAAGTTAAAGTATTGTACTAGCTAGTCATGCATGCAGCAAGGCAACAGGCAAGTACAAATCAAAATCTCATGTGTACTATTGTTGCGAAGGCATTCAAAGATGAAATTTACAAGTGATCAAGAAGAAAAGAGGAAATTATTCACACAGACAATCAATTTAAGTTCATTGATAATAAAGGTAATAATTAATAAATACTGATTCTCACTCCTTCCTCTCCATGATCTCATGTTTTGGTTCCTTAACCTATCTTGAAGGCTTTATTGCATTACATCATAGAGAACTTCACACTAGCAGTCATAAATAATTATGAGAAATAATATTTAATCCTACTTGCATCTTGTAAGAATGCTGCGGAATAGCCTAATGAATGGGGGAATGTGGTGGCAAGGGAAGCCATTTTCCGAACTTGGGGTGGTGGAAGTACTTTGGAGGAAGCTTGGGGTAAGGAGGAAGCTTAGGAAGAGGAGGGCATGGCTTCTTATGAAATGGAGGGATCTTTGGGATTGGAGGCAGTGGCTTATAAATTGGAACGGGAGGTGGTAAAGGCTTGTAGATGGGAATAGGAGGTGGTAGAGGCTTGAAGATTGGTGGTTTTGGTTTTGGCTTGTAAATTGGCACTGGAGGTGGCTTGAAGATTGGTGGCTTTGGCTTTGGCTTTGGCTTGTAGATTGGAACATGAGGTGGAAGTGGCTTCTTGTGGATTGGAGGGAAGACCTTTGGTGGGAGAGGAGGAAAGACCTTAGGCGGGAATAGGTAAGGATGGTGAAAGTCTTTGAATGGTGGAAGTTTCCATGTAGGCAATGGAAGCGGTTTAGTTATCGGTGGATGAGGCCACAAGAATGCAGAAGTGCAAGTAACAGGTGAAAATTTCAGTTGCCCTGCCAGCCCGAATGTGTGTTTCTCATCAGTTTTCGACTTGAAGACAATCTTGGAGGACTCTAGGCCATTGTGGGCTGGGCATGGTGCAGCTGATGCACTGTGAAGTTGTGCATAGCATTCTTCCTTCAATTTTCCATCCTTCACAACATCATTTGGAAGAGACACCTTGAACTTCCCCTCTTCATCAAGCTCGCCAACCCCTCTTGTCTTAAACTCTCCATTTTCAGGCTTGCAATCAATTGTCACTTTAAGCCCTGCAAAAGTATTGCATCAGATTATTATCATTTTCCAAATGGTGCAAGATATGCATGTCACGAGGTCCAGCTGATCATGCCATAAACCTGCGACTTAAAAATGACAGTGCACCTCTATAGGATCAAACAAAATAGTTGCTGCTATGAATGATGCCAGAAATTAAATGCCAGTACCTCTAAACTATGCCAAAAAAACATGTTTACCTGAGAAGGCATGAACGGTCTTCATGTTACTCTGTGCACAATCTGCACATTCTCCTATCCCAACTACCTCAACTGTACTGTCATCGGCATAGCAGAAGGCTGCACCAAATACTAAGGACACATAGAAGCACAGAAGTGCTCCTCGAAAAACGGGGAGAATCCGCATTGCGGGCACCAACAAGATGCAAGACTTTAGAAGCTGTAGTCAGCCTCTTTGATGCTAGCTGTTGATGAGGGATTGCATAACCTGAAGACTCCTTATATAACGCTGTTGAAGGAATGATTCAAAGGCTCACCGACACCAGATTAAGGGCATCACATGAGGTCAGGGACCCTCCAGAGATATTGACCTTTGTTTCTGGTTTGAAAAAAGACAGTAACGTGCACACCGGCTTCTTCTACAACCACATGACATTATCTTACATTCAATGAGTTCTCAACTGTACACAGCTAAATTCTTCTGTGCTCTCTCTCTCTGTCTGTTTAAACCTACTAACCAGCTGCTCATTAATACTTCACTTCACTAAAACTTTCGTTAATTTACAAATAATCTCTTACTCTATAAAAAACAATACATGGTTTCTGTGTGTAGCACCACAAATTCCTAGAGACTGGAAGAGAAAAGAAAGAACACAATATACATATTTGCGGCAGATAACAACTTCTCATGAATCAACCTAATCTCTTATTAATGCATTCTCACTGATAAACCGAATGGTGTTGGCATTTCGGTGCTGCAGAAAATAACAGTCAATAAATTTAGAAAAGAAAAGAGAAAAGGCAACAATCAGAAGCTGAAAAAAATAAATGTTAGTGTCATTATTTAATTAAAATTTTGCACCCCATTTTAGGCTAAGTCCATGCTGCTGTCACGTCTTATAATATAGAACTCAACTGAAAATTTAGGCTCTTAAAAGTTCGAATAAAGAACTGAACTGTGCATTACTCACTGAAACGAAATGCCTACGCGTAATTTGTCCACATACAATGTTGTGCATAGTTATAAATCGGATCCGATTTAGTAAGCTAACCCAGAAATACATCAATTTAGAGCCTAGCCTAAATTGATTTAATTTCAAACCAGAATTTTTTTATCAAAACAATATTATTTTGGCTCAAACATTGAGTTGCCCTACCAACCTACAACCTAAGCATCGAGCCATAACTTATAACTACATGGTTTAGGATCAAAAGACATGCGAAAGCTGTTTGATTTTTTCAAGAATTTAGTCTCTAATTATATGAAGGTGTTCCTAGCTAGTCATGCTATCATGTGATGAAAACAGGTTGCATATTAGTTGATTACTGCGTGCATGACCTCTAGCCTATGCGCACGGCGTCTAGCCTGCAGGGATGCCCCATGCCATGCTCTATTCCCAGCTAAGACACAACATTACACACCTTGAGATATACATCATGATAATGATATAGCAAATTTGCGTGGATTATATCTGCCCACCATCAAATTGAAGCTTATCGAAAATATAAATGAGGGGTCATGAGTGAGTGATATTAGGTAAAGCGACAAATACTCTCTTCATGATGTCATTATTTGCCCTTAAAATGATACAGGACTCCCAAATCCTTTTCTTCCCTTGAAAGATGACGCATGGTTTGGAAACTAATTAAATGGAGGCACATGACACAATGGTATATGCTTCACCACCATAAGTTGGTTTCATGTATAACAGCCAGGTGTGCATGTAGTTACATTATGGCATTGCCATATATTCTAGCTAACAGAGCTGAAAGCATGGTTATCAAATTCGTTATAAACTTGCTGATCTGGATTCTAACCCTATTTAAATTTGCTTGATAATTGATCAAGCGAAACCTGAATGATTTTGATCAACTTTGTTTACCTAATTGAATCCGATTTAGATCTAGAACTTAGTTTAAAATCCCAAAACAACTTCCTTGTCATTCCTTTGAACAAATCCACAACTCTACTTGGATCGAGTCAAATAAAGCGAAATTTTTTATTTAATGGATCGAGTCAAATAAAGCGAAATTTTTGATCTAAGTATAGTTATAATTGTGTTTTAAAGTATTTTTTATTAAAAAATATATCAAAATAATATATTTTTATTTTTTAATATTAATATATCAAAATAATTTAAAAATATCAAAAAAAATATTAATTTAAAATAAAAATAATATTTTTTAAATATTTTTCAAATATAAAAACAAACCGCTAAAGCATGCATTGTGAGGCCCTAACATAGTTAACGTGTCTGCGCGAAGGCGATGGATAAAGGAGTGGAAATTGATGTCGATGGAAAAAGGAGACCTCATTTCATGGCTGCCCAAGAAAAAAATAAAATGAAGGAATAAGAGTATAGGTTCTGTTGGAGAGCTGTGCACTGGGGGCAATTGCAGGACACCCACAATCTTTTAGGGTTGTAAAAGGAAACATCTTTGGGCAAATTCAACTGTCCTGAAATGATATTCCACCTAGCTCCGCCGACTAAAAACCACCGATCACAACGTTGTCGTCACTTAAATACCCTACACAAGCATTTTGGGTTGTCAGAACTTCGCCATGAAAGAAGGGCTCTAAACATTTTCACGGGCCACCAGCATTGAGCTGTCTGGCTAGAACTTAAAACAGCATGCAATCCCAGAAGGATAAATATCAACCACTTCTTAAAGCTAGAAAAAAGAGAGCATGATCCTTGTATCTCACTTCCAACACTAGAGATCAAATTTATTAAAATCAAGATTTTAACTTATAAAATTATATAATTTTTCGAGTTAATATATGTTATTGTGTTAAATTCAATTAAAAACTCAAAAAATAACACAAGTTAATTAGAATCCAGAAATTAAAAAACCTCTACTATCATCAGCATCAGTTGCTAATGAGATGATGCATAATAAAATCAGTTGAAGACATGGTATGTAAACGGTCTTCCTTTGATTTTATTAGTGTTTTATACATCTAAATATATTTATATTTATCTTATCACACAATAGATTAAAAGAAGCATTGTCCAATCTCATGATTGTTCACATCAATGATACAATTATAATTTGCACAACTTCGATTCTTCATTATTACAGAGTTGCTCTTTTCATTATCTTGATGTTATATGTTTTCTTGAAAGAATATGTTTCTTCTTTTAAAGAAAACTCTCGATATTTCATGCACTGTTTGTAATTTAAAAAAAAATTCTTAAAATTTTACTATCTAAATTTATTTTACATTTACTGTGTAATTTTTATTTTTTTTAACAACATTGTTAGAGACCTCACATGGGAAAGGGTAATCAGATACATCACACAGGTACCTCATCATCATAAATTCATATACCTCAAGCGGGGTAACCACTTAAGAACCCTAGTATACCACGGGTTACTTGACTTGTACACAGCTAGCAAGTCCCACGTCACAGGAAACGTTGGAATATAGTCATATACTTAATTTACATCCCACCTACCTCGGAGTCGGTAAGCATGATTTAAATAGGAAAACTGAGAATGTGATATATATAAGGAAATTAACTAAGCTCAAGACAATCATACCATTCCTACCTCGGAGTTAGTTTCTAAAGTTCCAAAAATTCTCCGAAAAAGAGAAAAAGGGAAACAAGAGTCTGCACTTTACTACAGTGCCTAAATCTACTGGGCCTCGGAGTTAGGTCTTCATTGGCCTATAGCTAGTTTAGTTCATGGGCTCTCTCTTAGAATCTCCAGTTGCCCATTATGAGCCACAAGGGCCTGCATTTTACTACAGTGCCTGAAACAGGGTAAGAGCCACTGTTTACTTCTTCTTCTTTGACTTCTGGGACTGTGACTGCCTCAATGCTGTTCCCTGAACATAATAACGCAAATGTATCAGTTACACCTAGAATCTCCTAAACAGATGATACTGCAATTGAAGCTATGAAGTTTTTCCAAAGGAAGAAGGTTGGGGGGAGGGGAACTATTCTGAAAGAGAATATATCAAATAGATTGACATGACAGCGAATCATAGGAAATTTCTCAACGCAAAATTCAAACCTAAAGTCACACACCTGAAGCCATTCATCCACGGAGGCATCTCTGGCCCCAGTTCCAACCTCCACCTTCGGAGCCCTCTTTGATTTCTGACCAAACAACAGCAGCTAGTTAAGAGAATTTCATGAAGCAAACACATGAAAGTAGCAATACATAAGGGTGCAGGCATAGTTGCAGTGATATTGACCACAGGTGAGAATCTAGTAAGCTCCCTGCCCAACAGGTATTTATCCAATCAAATATATTCATCAAATAATTGGTATATTCCAAGTACATGTGGAAACTAGAAGATTTCTTCAATGCCAACTTAAATAAAGCATTGTGTGGTCAAGCATCCACCGCTTGCCTTCTCAAAAGCGGTGAAAATTATTCATTACGAAGATAAATCAACAGATTTATAGTAAAGTTACTGTAATAAATTAGCTTATAAAGAAATACGTAAAAATGAAAGTGGCATCATGACTGATGAGTACCCTAGAAAGGTTCTGAATTTGGCTTTGAAGCCATAGACCAAAGAGGAAAAGAAGAGCAATTCCAAGGGTAACAAGAAAAACTGACTCCGTGCTTATGAAACCACCAGACTCAACTACTTCAATGGTACCATTGTAGAAGGTGCTTTGGTATGGTTGCTGGTCTATCTCAAAAATGATGGTGCCCACAAGATCGAAACTTCCAGGCTGCACAAAGGGAATAAACATGTAAGTCAAAGAAAGAGGTACATAAAGGATGAAAGATCAAAGTTGATGGTTGGGAAAACACAAAACTCTTGGAGTGGTGATGCATGTACCTGCAAGTACTTGCTGACAGCAAAGATGTATGGGAAAGTAGCCTGAGCAGATGCTGGAACAGTTGCATTGTTGAAGCCCTAAATTAAAACAAAAGAAAGCGAGTGAATAACAAATAGCAAACCCAATCAACTTTATAAAAGACACAAGAAAGCAGTTACTGATCCAAATGATGAAAAATTCAACAATACAGAAACAATATAAAAAAATTGGCAATAAGAACTAAAAAAGAAGGGCCGTGTAGCCTGACAAAAGCAACCAACAGAGGATCAAAGACAATAATATATTGCTAATTTCAAAAAATGATTAAAGAATAAATAAACTAGCCAGACAAAAGTTTTCTTTAACTTTGCACTTTTGGTAGGGAATCAACCTGGGAACAGCATTACAAGCAGAGTGTTGCAGGAATAGTGATAAAAAAAGAAGATTTTTCCGCATGATCTACACAGCATACGCAAAGTATACAAGAAATAACCTGAAGAGTACGGGTGTGGCTTTCAATAACCTTGACAGAGCCATGAAATACATGACCAATGGTGTAAAGATTCACATGTCTAATCAAACATATGAAACCCAAGAAGAATATTTATTAATCAAGGACCAATGAACATATGTTGAGGTTCCAAATATCGTTAATCAAGGACTAGTGAATACAAGCACATTGAAGTTTCAAGTATTTGATTGCACACTTTATAATGTTGGATATTAATTAAGGACCAATTAACATAGGTTGAAGTTTCAAATATTATTAATCAAAGACCAATGAACATAAGCATGTTCAAATTTAAAGTGTCTGATCACACACTGTCTAATGTTGGATACTAATTATCATCAAATATAAGACTATATTGAATTTTCAGATGGGGAAGATTTATTTTTATCAACAAAACAGCCAACTAATAGATAATTTGGGACTAGATGTGCAAGTCAAGGGCATCTAAAGTATTGACTTCTTCCCGGAAAATAATGTTATAGATCTTACCAAATCCTACAGTAATATTGGAGCATGTTTGAACTTTGCTATCTACAAGATTTATTGAATGCATGCTGGTAATACATGCAACAAAGTAATAAAAATCATCCTTTATCTATGCAAACCACAATGTCACAATTAGACGGCCAAAGGACAGAAAACACACAACTAATGTAGCACAAAACACCTGAAGAAAATAAATGAGCTTAACTTCAATACATTCAATTGAAATAATTTATAACACTTAAATTTAACCTGGAATGGAGATCACAATATTTGATTTCCAAATGAAATCATACATAAACCTCCAATTACCTGAGCAGATAGATTCTGAACCAGTAGCTTATGATCAAAAGGAAGATGAACACTAGCCCTAATTCCAACGACAGTTATGGGCAACTCCCCTACATTTCATGCAAGCAAGAAAATAAGTTTATCCCTGTGCAAAGAAGCACATAGCATGAAACACGCGCGCGCGCATTCAAATGATGTATTTTGATCGAGAAGTAGAAGGAGCACGATCAAGAGATATTAGAACAGCATCACAGTCCCATTATAAAATATGCCAGTAACAGTTAAATTACCATCATTTTTCACTCCAACTAGTAATTCAGTCTCTTCTCCAGCATTCACCACTGTAATAAATAAATAAACAGACAGAACACATTCATCTCCCAAATCCATTTAAAAATCAACAATTATCTTCACAGATGAAAGCGATATCAATAAAGCTCTTACAGCGTGCACTGTTTTTTGGGAAAACACAGACGATATCAACCCCTGGAGCTTGGCTAAAATTCTCATCACCAAAATCCTGTGCGTTCTCCCCGACAATCCCAAGATCACTGACTTCTTCCACAGTCCCTGCGACTTCAGCATCTGAATCCGACTGACTCCTAGCAACTATACAAACAGCAAAAGAAAAAAAAAATCAAAACAAAAACAGACTAGATTGACAAACACGTGTGGATTAAAATCCAAAGCAACAAAAAATCCCATTCAATCCAATTCCAGCGAAACCTGACATAAATTTCTATTACTTATGAGCTATGGAAAGTGCATTTTTCTCACTTTCATTCAACCGAAAACAATCAAGGCAGGTCCAATTTTGCATTCAGAAAGCAGCACAACCACCTCTGACAACTTTTCTCGAACTTTTTAATCAACAAAGCAAAAAATCAAGTCAAACTTCACTAAGAAAGCAAATCTGATCAAAAAATAAATCAATAACGACGAGCTACAACAGAAACCTAAAAAATGGGCGCCTGCATTACAAGCGAAATGTCAAGAAAATCAGATAGATCTCAATTCAATAGATCAACGCGATGAAAACGAACCGTTAAGCAGCATGAGAATTCCATTTCAGACAAATAAAATGGAAAAAAGTGTGAATTCGCAAACAGACCAAAGAAAAACAGGGAAGATTTTTGCATGTGTGTGGGGCTCTGGATCTAGGAATTGAGAGGAGGAGAAAGTGAGTTACCTTGAAGGAGAGGAGAAACGAGGAGGAGGAGAGCGAAGAAGAAAAACCTGAGATTCTCCATAGTTAACGCCTTGTTTGGCTTCTTAGCTTGATTGATTTAAATTATTGCTGGTGTTGTTTTTATTTATTTTCTATTTCAGCATGTAGTGTTTCTGCTTGCTTGTTAAATTATTGGAACTCAAGCAGCAGAGAGCAAACCACCTTGGCTACCGACTCTCTACGATGAAACACGGGGCGGACGTAGTTGTTTCTGATTGATGAATCCATTGAGAATGTGGATATACGCTGTCGTTTCGACGTGTGACAATGCATCCCCCCCCTGTTTTCTTCTTCGATGGGCCTTCTATTAATGCCACATTTTGGATTTTATGCCATAGTTGTATAGCCCGGTTTTGTATTTTTTTTCTTTTATTCATAGAATAAAACTAAGAATTCTTACAATTTCTACATTACAATTATATAAAAACAGCTTTTACACATGTATTTTTCACTAAGAGACAATCGCCCTGTGGAGTTTTTTCCGTATTCTCATAATTTTTTTATGAATATTCAATAAAAATAAAATATCTAATTTTTTTATTGCAAGCTTTTTATATAATTTTCTCAAATCATTGCATATACCATAAAAATTATCTTTTTATTAAGAGTTAATTTTACATGTTCTTATATATATATATATATATAAATGATATGAATAAAAGGAAACATACAAAAAAAAGGTTCTTACTTGAGAAACTTTTAGCAAAAATTTATAAGAAAGAAACCGTTTATCCGGACATGATATGAATAAAAAGAAACATAAAAAAAAGGATCTTACTTGAGAAACTTTTAGCAAAAAATTATAAGAAAGAAACCATTTATACGATACAATTATATCTCAAAAGTTTTTCGGAAAAAGAACATCTTTAATATCAAAACCACTTTGTTATGGCTTGATGAACATCCCTTAATTTATACAATTTTATTTAACTTTTTAATAAAAAAGAAAGTAAGATTAGATAAACACTATCCATCCTCAGAGATGGAAACCCGCAAGCTAAATTTTTAATCGCATGAGATCTTTTTGAAATTTTGAAAGAGACGATCTCCAGTACACACCAGGATCTACTTGGATTTGCCTTTCGTATTGTAATAATGGAAGGAAATTATACCAATCATAACCCCTTTTTTTCAAAACAACAACAATCCTAACGTCATGTTTTACTGCAATTCTTTATTCTCTCCTTCAAAGTAAATTTCAGCCAACTATTTTCTTACTTCTTCGGAATTCATGGAGCAGGAAAATACTTATCATATTTATGTAAACTAAAAACAATAATAAATTCATGACTACATGTTGCAACTCCACACACTCGCTTCCAAAAATTAAACGAGAACTGCCACAGTGAAGTATTAAATATCTAACTCATTATCTAAACTTACACAACAGGTGCTAAAGTTCAGCCCGAGAATTTGACACTAACTTCCACTTCCCCTTTCGAGAACGAACTTTGGAAAAATGGCAGCAACCATGTTAGGCTATCTTATCAATCCCCGTGGATGGTGTAACGCTCCCACTTCTTTGTCGGATCATATATCTGCCACAACCGCAAATGAAAATGGAAAGAACTTAAGGTGAAAACTGATCCTTAAACCTGCCCCTGGCTCCACCACATTAGTGGCAGCTATACCACAAACACCGTACAGAATGTGAAACATGAGTGCAGAAACAAAACATGCATGCAAGTTATGTGCACATGCAAACAAACAGAGAGAGAGAGAGAGAGAGAGAGAACCTCCCATCTCGAAGCAGGAAAGATGTGTTTGTTCTTTTCATACCAGTGCCTCTCAACAACTTTACCAGCATGGGACTGTTCAAGAACAAAGACCAGATAAGCATGGTAGTTTAAGCAAGTATGTTTAGACAACATAATTAGGCGCATTATAAAGGGGGAAATCAATATAGAAACAACAAAAAGATGGTATCAAGAAAGACATACCTCATCCTTCTCTATGGTTGCATCAGCAATTGTTCGCACATCCTCGTGCACATCAAAGTGGAAGAGCTGGTCAAAGTAAAAGAATAAAACATAATAATTCAAATTAAGTTCGTGAAATAAACTTTATAACACCAGATGCAAGCTTGACCTAGCTCAAGCTCTCCACTTATGAGAAATTACGCTAAGAAGAACTGGCAGTTCTCTTTTGAAAGCACCAACAATCTTAGTAAAAGAATCCTGGTTTGCAAGAAAGATGTGATTGAGTAGGCCAGGACCAACGTGCTTGCAGCACTTTCCCTGTTAGGTTTTTGTTAATGAAAAGAACAATTTCCAAAACCAACCATTAAATTTGTTTTTCAATTCTTATACGGTTCAAGTCAATACAAAAATAAGAAGGCAGGGAAAATATCAGTAATCAGATTGTCCAAATAGCCACCATGCCTAATTCTTCATTTTTTTCTTATTGGCTACACAATGGATAGTTAGAAAGTGGGAAATTTGCCTTACCGGTCCACTTTTTCCCCTTGCTTTGTTAACGATCAACTCATAGAAACTGTGTTGCTGAAATTCCACAGCCACAAAAAATGTTATAAATTTGTTAGCATGAATTCAAGATAGCAAGTGCAAAAATTGTAGTTGAAAGTCAAACTTAATAATTATCTCACATGAGGAATGATAAGATCCTCTTTCACATAAAGCAAATTCTCCACAGAAGTAGTCCTGATTTCTCTGAACTCTGGCGCAAGTTGCTGCTGAACTCCCCGAAGAAACTCTCCTATGGCATCACCTTTACGAACCTAAAAGATAAAACAGTAAGCCAACGATGAATTAATAAGAAAAGGGATAAGAAAAACATTTTACCAATACTGAGAAAAAGAAATTGAAAGCATGCCAAAAGATTGAAAAGTGAAGAGAAGTCACACTAACCTGGATCACTCTTCTATGGCCCGCTCCATCCCAGTAGCTGTAAGTGATTTCAAGGGGCTCATCTGAAACATTAGAGAAAATTGATTTGGCACAAAGTGAGTTTCAATGGATCCATGTTAAATAGAAGAGGTTCAGGAAAATAATTACTTTGAATCTGTTCCTGTTCACGAAGCCACTGTTTCCGCAGCCTTTCACGCTCAGCTTGCTCCTCTGCCTCTCGCTCACTGAAACAGCATCCTCAGCACCCCTAAGCTCATATGTTAGTTCCAAGTCCATGCAAAAGCCTTTCAAAGTAGAAGGTGCATGGAAGGACAGAGAGAGGTAGAACGAAGGAAGGAGGGTGAGGGAAAAATATTACACCTGTCAGGCAAAAAGCTTGTTTCAACAGTGGGATCTTTTCCAAATTTCCCCCGCGCTAAATTCTTTGGCTCTGAGGTTTCTGACAGCATTGATAAAAGAGAAGTTTTGAGGTTAAAACGTAAAATTTGTAGTCCAGTTCCTATTGCTACTGAAAAGAAGGATACACGTAAAATCAAACAAAGTTCATAGCAGCAAGGTGAAAAAAAATTACAAAGTGAGTTCTGCATGTATACGACAATCCAAATTTCTCGCATACACATAACAAAACAATGGCTACTCTATTGCTCCAGAATATTATTATTCATGTTCGCTCTTTCTAAAAATAAACACAGGACCACGATTTAAATGCCAGGAGCAAGCACTTTCAACATACACACAATGTGATTTGATCATGATGAAAATTCAATGTAAGCCTTTTCAACCCATCTAAACAACCTGATTCCTTAACAGCTACCGATAAAATATAAGGTGAACTGTATGCCAAAAGACCGATAATAGGACAGTCAACAACCAGTTAGAAAGGTCGATGCAGTACAACTTGACTGCAAATGCCCATTACAGAATTAGAATATCCAGCACTTCGATGCAGTACAACTTGACTGCAAATGCTCTAGTCAAAACAAAAGGCATTTTTTACCCAAAAAATGCAGCCGACGCATATCCAGATAATAATACACAAAGTAAATAGCTTACTACGCCAAATCATGTGATTTCTTACTGTTTTCACCATCCTCTTCGTCACTTCCATTCTCAAAATCATCCGCAAAAGACAACTTAGAACTCCCCTTAAACTTCCTCTTTTTACGCTTCTGCAACTGAAGATCCTCCTCCCTGGCAATACAAACATATCAATCTTCACAGACATTCATATTCAAAACCCAAAAAAAAAAAAAAAAAAGCGCAGTAATCAAACTCACTCTTTTCGTAGCTTTTCTAGTTTCTCCTTCTCTTCTTCTTCAAACTTGGTCTGAATATTAACCCTCTGTATAAACCCACATCACAACAACAGCAACAACATTTCTCAAGCATGTCAACATTTTCATTAACATTAACAAAAGAGCGAAATTAAAAGGAAAAGAAAAGAAATTAATAAACGTTATTACCTTCTCCACGTACTGTTCTCTTGTAACCAAACCCACAGTTTCCTTCTTAAATGCAGTCTCAAGAATCTGAAAGAACAAATTAAACCCGGATAATCATCAAAACAAACATCATCGCTGTTAACTAACAATTATTCAGCTAAAAATGATTAAAACCCTAAGAAATGAGATTTGTTTTTCAGGAAACCCTAGAAATTTACTTCGGATGTACTTGACCCGAATTGGAGGAGACCAGGCTGGCCATTATCGGAGGCAGACTTGGTTTTGAGCTCTTGGATTTTAAGGCGTTCAGCTTCTCTCTGCTTCTGTAACCGCCGGATCCTCACGGCGTCTTGGGCCGTGCCCACGTACCCGTCTCCCATGCCCGACATCTTCACTTTTCGGGTTCTGTTTCTCAAAATACGGGATTTTTTGGTTGAGAGAGAATGAAATTAAACCGCCAGGCGATTTGGTATTTATTTTACATAGGGAGTTGGGAGGTGGTGAGGCGATTTGGTATTTATTTTACATAGGGATATGGTAGGTGGTGATATGGTAGGTGGTGGTTTAATGTAGAATTATACAGGAGTAATTGTTACCGTTTGATCATATGACTTTTGCTT